TTGGGTGGCTAACGGTAGAGGGCGTGAGCCGCGCTGCTAGTGTGGTTCCCGCCGGAGTTTGGCATTCTGATTTGCACGGCATCTCAGAGTGTTCGGGCTTCAAATCGGGACTGGCTGTCTATGCACACCTGACGATCGCTAACAAGCGTGAAACCGGTAGTGGCGCTGACAACAGGCCTGATTTCTTTACCCACATCCAACTCTCCTCAATTGAGGTTCTCGCTAGTATGGGAAAATCCATACGAAAAAACAATACTGACCGATACCTCTTAAAAAACTGCATTTCATAAAAATGAATGACGGTCGTAACAAATCATTTGATATATATATATATATATAAAACTCTAAGAAGTGGCCCGAAACTGGATTTAACAAGGTGGAGAAATGGTGCTGGGTCCACACCATTTTGCGGGGAAATCAAAGCCAAGGAGTTCCCAAAATTAAAATTAGAGTCAAAATTTTTTGAGCTCTAATGCGCACCAGTACGAAACTGAGGGGGGAGAGTGTTCAGCTCAGGCAGTTTGCATAGGAATATTAAGTTGGAGTCACGTCGAGAGATCTATACAGGTTTGGGCCTTTTTAGACCTCATCAGTAGATCACACTCGGCAGTGAACCCAATTTAACATGTCGCAATGATAATTTTAGTGCTTCAATCGAAGTTATATTTTACAGGAGTCTTCTCTGTAGTATGTACTATCGATCGGCCTCTTAAAATCAAAATTTTTCCAAACTTCATTTTTTCTATTTATTGCCGCTTAAATCGGGCTATTGGACCACAGCACTATGGTCTGAGAGCGCCAAATTGTGGCCAAAAATCCGATTTTTGAAAGTGCGAAAATCTGGCAACCGAGCATGTAGCCCTAATCTACATCCTTTGGAAAGTGTGAAATGACCTATCAAATTTTATTTAAGTGTTTTTAAGGTCAGATATATGGTGGCAAACTTCACATACTCTGAGGTAATTAAGCAAATGTGAGAATTCGAGGTGCACGTCATCACATATTGCCTTGTGTTGTTTTGTCAAAAGTCGACGTAGATCCCCGATCAAATATGGAACAAATAGCTCAAAGTAAGCACTTTTTAATGGTGTAATCGTTTTTAATATTAAGATTAATTTTGCGGCCATTACGAGACTCCAAAGTTTTGCCTGAAAGTGAGCCAAAAATGACCTTGACCTCAACTTTTCTTTATCACGGTTTCTTATGGATTCATTCTTATTGGTGCAGAAATGTAGGTCATATATTCCTCTAACAGACTATAATAGGTTTTTTTGCGTATTTTTGCGTCCGGGGCCTTTTTTGGTCCTTTCAATGCAGCGGTTTTGTGATTTTCTGAGTAATCCGATTTCGCTGTGTAACAAGATAAGGGAGATGAGGCAACGTCAACGGTGGGCATAGGGCGAATCTTTTGTAATTTTGGCTGCTGAATCTAAAAATGATGCCCATTTTCTTCCAGCAGTCGCCAGTTTTCCGGATAATTGGATTTTTTGGCGGGAAAACACATTTTCAAGCAAAATTATATTTTCTCCAGAAGAATGATGATAACTGAATGAAACGAAGGTCATTTTTTCATTCTTGAGCTTTCACATGTAAACGCATTTACCAACTCGCCTTCCTGTGGTGTAATGGTTGTAGTGCTAGCCCCATGATCAGGAGATCCCGAGTTTGACTCCCGCCCAGGGAACTCGAGCTTGATGATCGCAAGCCATATTACTGGGAGCTTATTGCTAAGAAGGGACTGATGGGGAAAGGAATTCAAGCATGGATATTAGATCTCAGTAGCAATTTATTTTAGTTCCGCTTTCTTGTATTTATTTTATGAAATTGTTCAAGTTTATCATTCCATCTAAAATATTTATAATAACATTTATAACCATAAAAATCAGCGCAAAATGGTTGAACTGCTTCCAAGAAATATCAAAATATCAAGGCTGTTAATTTTTAGGTATTCTAAAGTATGCCCCAAAACTTTTCGTAGCAGGGTCTGGTAAGATCAATGAGTTAGATATTTTTTTAAAAAAAAAATCCCACAGAAATGAACATATTTGAGGGGAAGTATCTGTTCAGGGAGGGGGCACTCTATACCTTGACCTTAACCCTCCCCCACTCCTCTTCTTGCCTTCCTTTAGGTAGGTATGCATCTAAATGTCTTGCTAACACGAATACCACCATACTGAGTGTATATATTATGCTCTAGTTAGGACTAATAGACAAAAAAATAAAATTTTAAATTTATTCAAATACGATGAATTCTTATCTTTTTCTGGGAAAAATACTGATTTTTAAGCCTTTTGCTCTCGTAAATGCGACATTTTTGCAAAACTGAGCCAGCAAAGTGTAGTCTGGCGACCTTCAAACGACTAAACTGTCGTTTAACATGGCATCCGGATCATAGTTAGAAGTTTTGTGTAAATTTTGAGTTTTTAGGGTCTGCCGCCATCTTGGATTTCAGAATTTTGTAAAACTGAGGTCAAATTTGAATTTAGCGACCCAAAAAACATATGTATCTTAAGTTTCATTTTAATCGGACCATTTCCTGATTTATGGCCACAATTCGGCGCTCCCAGACCATAGTGCACAGTGCGCCCTGCTGGGAGGGGGAAGGAGGCTACCGCTGCGGTGAGGGGTCGGTGGGCCTGCGCGGCGGTCACGCGGGAGGAGGAATTCCTGACACGAATTTCCTGCGAATTTTTGGCGATTTTTAGGCGTGCTTAGAGCTGTTATACAATGATAAACTTCAATGAAACTCTAATAAGATTGGACCGTGAGAGGGGAATAAAGATTTGACCGAGAGTGGGGGAATATTCTGCAAGTGAGGGGTGATGCAATGCGGCCGCGCGGTCACTCCAGTCAGTATCCATGGTGACCATGGGCGGAGCTCACTTCGCACTCAGCCAGTGAAAGTATAAAAACACTCAGGGGATGTTTTGACCACGATTTCATCGGATTATTGGACTTACCAAGTAAAAGCAAGTGCGAATACCTTAAGGACTTATCTCAAACTCTTAAAAAACTCGTTGAGAAGTATTAATTAGAATAACCATTTTGGGAAATCTTTGTAAGAGAAAATTTCTCTCGAAACTTACATAACAGATTTTTGAAAGAAAGACTCGTGTTTGAAGAGTTTTTTCTTTTTAATTTCCTAAAGCAGTTTTAGTCATTTAAAGTGACAGTAAAGTCAAATATTTCAATTTTTTTACTGAAGTAATTTTAATTCTTGATATTATATTTTAAAACTGCACACTAAAAGGATATTATAAAAAATACTTTTAAACAATTTCTCCTTGAATTGTCTGTTTACAATTTAAACGTTTCTGAGTTTTTTAATCAGCCGGCACTGGTTTGGTGTCGGTGCGAAGATCATTTGAGAAGAGGAAGAAGTAGAAGAAGAAGTAAAAGAAAAAGTTGTAAAAGAAGAAGACGTAAAAGAAGAAGACGTAAAAAAAGAAGACGATGGAGAAGAAGGATTGTAATGATGATTGGGTAACAGGAATGGAGGCGGCGCGCAGCGAGGTAGCGGTAGTCTGATTTAGGCGGCAAATTCAAATATCAAATATTTTGAACAAATGTGATGGCACGGCCAAGTTAACTCAAGTAACCGGATTTCATTAGGAAACATCGAAGAATGCTATCGACTGCATAGACTTGTTTATCATCGTCGAGCAAAGGTTTTTAACTCATGGTCTAAATATCACTCCAGAATGGACCCCTCAAATGTGAATACTTCAACTGCATTGCTGGCTCATCGCATCCGTCTACCTGAGGCGTGAGTGCTAATCAAAAGTAAGGGTTTCCCATTTAGATTTGAAGCTAGTGTCCACAATGAAGCAATCNCCCCCCCCCCCCCCCGCCCCCCGACGTTTGACGTGATGCGTGCGTTCATGAGCTATCGAAGCATATCACCACATCAATAATTTCAATAACAGAAAAATTAACCCCAGTAATTCTAATTTTAATTATTATGGCTATGGTTGAAACTGACAATAGATTTACGATAAGTAAGGGAAATAATGAAACTAAGCAAATAGTAAGACATCTGTGATTTATAAATTTGGATTTGGATTATATTTGGATTATCAAGATTTTTGTTTTTATTATCTTATTTGATTCTAAGTATTTATATTGTATTAAAATTTTAAGTTAAATGAAACTAATAAGTTTCAAAATTATAATTAAATTTAATGGTTTAAATTTTAATAAAGAAGTGTAAACTTAAAATTAAATTTACAATTTAACCCTTTTATCAGGCACCTTATTTGTTTATTTATTTATTTATTTATTTATCAAGATTACCAAGTCAATCAATCCTAAAATTGCATTTAGTGTTAACATTTAACTCTTAATAAGTCATTACAGAAAAAGTATCAGTTACCTTAAGTCCAGCTGTAAATTTTGTGATCTCGTGTTTCTTTCCAAATTGTTAAATGGTTTTGTTGATTGCTCTGATTTAGTTAAGTTGATTACTCTTCACATTCCTGATCAGGTTACTAGAAGGAGTGAGGCACTCTTCAGCATTTCTCATGATCATAGCAGCTACTGTAACCTCTCACCTATAATTAGGATGAGTGTCCTGGGTAATCACTGCTATGATTCATGTGATCTGTTCCCAATTTCTCATTTTAAGAGCCAGGCCAAGGAAGCTTTATTTGTGTTCAACTAATTTCTGTCATCTTGTTTGTTTTGTTGTTCTCTTTAATTTATGTTGTTTCATTCTGCTGGTCTTCATCTTACTGTCATTTGCTGTCTACCTTTGCATTGTTGTACTTTTGTAATTGGGTTCGCCTGTTGAAAATAAATAAATTAAATAACTATCATGTATGGTCTCTGCTGGCGGTTGCTTGAGGCAGTCAGCTGGTGGGACTGATCGTCCGTTCCTGGCACATAGGAACAGTTTTTGCTGCAGCTCTGCTCTCTCCCCACTCCAATGTAGCAAAAAAAAAAGTTATCATTCATAAAAAGTATTGTAAATATTTATTGATCACTTGCATTACACTTTCCAGGTTGTCACAAATCCAATTGACATGCTGAAAATTCAGCAAAAAATAAGGACCGATGAGTATGATACCATTGAAGAATTGTCAGCTGATTTTGAATTGCTGGTCAACAATGCCAAAGTTTTTTACAAGGTAAGTAAATGCATCCATTTTTCATCATGCACCAATCTTGTGATCTGAAGCTTTAGGTAGGGGTGTCACAAGGGGTCTCTTTGAATGATTCTGGAGCTATAAGTTTGTTCCATTTTTATCACCTTTTGACACTAATGGTTTGAAATAATGTGTGTTTGTAATGTGAAGCCATTTATAAAAGTAACTCCAGTAACAGTCGTATCCAAGAAGGATGTTGGAAACCCAGAGACATAGACACCGATTATCTTGCAGTAACACATGGAAACCTTAATTTCTTGTCGTTTGTGCGAATAGCATACCATATACAGGTCCACTAATCAGCCAATTAGTATGAATGAAAGCATTCCAACATGAATATTTCCACCAAAATTGATATCAGACACAATAAACTCGTAGAAAGTTTGGAACGAAACTTTTTCCTCTTTCTTTTGTTAACTGAAAAGAAAATCTGCTTCAAACAGCCCTGTCAGAAAGAGATTGATCTAACAATAAATAGTAGGATGGCAGTCACTGCCAATAGGGATTTAAAGTTGTGATCCCTTGTTGGAGATGGAATCCTGGTTACGTGGGGTTGTAGCAAGCAGTGCAGCTTTAATGCAATGTAATGAATAGTAGCCATGCCCCCAACAAGTTTTTCTCTATGGGTAAAGCACTTCATCCAACAGGCCGACTACTGGAATGATAGATAAATCGATAGGAAAGGAAGAACATTATATGATGGAGCAATCCTATTGGTTGAAGCAGGTGGTTGTTGTAGAATAAGCGGCGAAATAATGGGCTAAATACAAAGAACTGATGGGTTGCCACTAGTAAGTCCTGGTAAGTATATTACTTACCTCCTTTGTCGTTTAGAATCACCTGCTTCTGTCAATAGGATTGCTTCCTTTTCTCCTTGTCTTTTTTGTCTATCACTTCGACTGTAAAGTTCAATAATCAGCCCACAGAAATAGATACAGATGTAGATGTCCCTCTAGCACTTTTCCACCATATACCTCTCTTTTTACCGAATACTGCTGCATAGTCTTAATTCCTTAGTTCCATTTCTTATTGTATCACTGTTCTTAACTTTTTAATGAGTCAGTCAAGCTCGGGAGGGATTTGCCTGCAAATAGTCGAATCTTACAGTATTCGGTACGAGAAGAACGATGCGCACATTAAAATTTCACGAAAAATTGTCTCCGCGGAGATATAACGCTTCCTTTGTAGGGGTCCTCGAAAACATGTTTGAACCGACCGCCGTGAATCTTCGAATCTACGCGTCATAGAACGGGAAGATGGCGGCGCCGAAGCCGACCTGCTTACTACCGCCGCGCCACGCTGCCGTTGTTGACATCACGATTTCTCGTTTGAGGTTAAGTAAGTTCTGTGTGAAAGTTTCATATCTTGCATACGTCTGTATCGCATTCTGATTGAAAAGCTTAGAGAATTAAGAACAATGGAAATGAATCTCAAACGAAGTTACCTACATAACCTCCAATTGACCAACAAAATCACACCGCCAACGCGACGCCGCCGTGTATTCTTCCAAGACACATTCCGCCGCCATATTGATCGTGACTTGTACATTCGAAACCTACAAGCGCGCGGTTCAAACGCCGTTCTAGGCCACCCTAATTTTTGGCACGTTTAAATAAACTTTTCTCCTGTTTGCAGTCATCAAAAAAAATTAGGAAAAAAAACTGTAAGCTTTGGTCACTTACTACTTTTGAATGACACTAAAAAAAAAATGAATTAACTGACTCATTCAACTGTGTTTTTTATGTAGAGGACCTCCCAGGAATATAAAGATGCTTGTGAAGTGATGGACTTATTTGAAGCTACGAAGAAAAGAGTTCTTGAGGAAAAAGCTGCTGATGATGATGCCGCTAGCACTGACTCCAAAGGAAAAATCATTCTTCGTGTTGGAAAATTAGTAAGTCTTTTGTCAGAATTAGTCACATGCTGAAAAAATAATGAAATTTTAATTGACTGGAAGGTCTTTCTCCATAGCATTACTGGATTAAATGACGATGAGTCAAAGAAAGAAGTAACTTTTTGTGGCCACAAGTCCTACTGCAGTAACTTTATATTTTCATTTTCAACCAGCCACTTTCGGGACTGAACATTGAAACACACAATCGAAGCGGCAAGTTTACACATGTTGAACTGGCAATAACTGTAGAAATAACAGTAGAATGACAGTTGTGCACTCTGCAAGACATTGGTCAGGGTAAAAATCTCTTGAATTTCAGAGTAAACCTTTAATAGTTTGGAAATTTTGCTGCAGAACCTTAAAACCCTTTTCTCTGGCTGTTACATTTGATTATTATCTACTGCACTGACAGATCTATTAGGTAGAATTAGAACTACCTACTGCCTTTTGGCAATTTCAGAGTTTTGTTCTACTCTCAAGAGACTTTTCATAGAATGTCATCGTAGAAATTATTTCTCTGAGAAGCATGCCCAAAAAATAATTTTGAAAAGTCTCAGAAAAATCAGGGAATTTTGAAATTCTGGAAAACTTGTCACCCATGCAGCATTGCAGCTTGCCAACGAACAGTGTCAGCGGCACCCTGGAAGCTACGAAATTACGGCTTGTGTAACTTCGCTTGTGGACCATTGTTGGCCTGTGACCATAGAAGCCTTGGAAATCTTCAAGATAGGGATTCAAATATTCTTTTCTACAATCATGGATGTGGAAAACCGTTTTTTAGTACGGTAAGAATAGGATGTTTGCTCCACTTCTGTTGCCAAATCAACCATAAAAATAGAAATGAAATTAAAGGTACAAGAGGTGGACAGATGTTGTAACATGGTGCAGTGAAATGTGAATTAAATGAACAAAAGGATGGGCAGTGTTGTAAGATTGTGCATTAAAATCTTTATTAAAGTCAGATTTTTTTAATATGGGAAATCCTCAGCAGTAAAAAGTCATCCGGTAGAGTCACCAATGGTTGAAAGTTCTCCAGTCAGCGGTCAAAAAATCATCCAGTATAGTCAACATGATGGTAGGAAGTTTTCCGGTTAGCGGTAAGAAGGTCATCTGGTTAAGTCACCTCAGTGGCACTCAGAAAGTTTTCCGGTTAGTGGTCAAGAAGAAAAAGTCATCACCTAAAGACACCTTAGCGATATTCAGAAGGTTTTTTAGTTAGGGATACGGTACCGACAAGTATCGTTTTATTTAAAGGTACATTAGTGACAATGAATGTTTTGTTAGACAGCATGATACCAACAAATAACGTTCTATTTGACGTCACTGTACTGAGATCAATGGCAATCTTTAATTATTATTTTATTTATGACTTGGCAACAAAAGTAAAGCCAAATTTCCTGTTTTACTCTCCTAGTTTTGATAGAGCAGGAGCATTTTTGCGATAGGATTTGGTTAAAGTTTTTGACTCACTGCAAACCTCTGTTACAGCAAAACGAAAATCCTTCCGGATGACAGTGCGCCTACAAAATTTGGTTTTTATGCTGGTAGCAATGACGACCACATCCAAAACTCTCGACCTACTTCGGGAGATGGGTCGAAAAGTGAATTGATGCAAACTTAGGCCAAAATTTATGAAGCACCTGAATTTAGTTCTCAACTTCAGTAAAGCGTTTTCGCCTTTGGTTTGCAACCCTGCAAATCTGGATGAAAAAGTCAACCAAATCCACTCCCGAAAAGTCGCCGTATAAAGACATATATCAGCCCTTGCCAAGTTTCGTTGTATTCTAGTTATGTGTCTAAGCCCTTCAGGATAGAAATTTTGATGTGCTTTTTCTTTAAAAATTGGCAACGCGATATCATTTCATTTAATTTTGGCAAACTTGCCAGTTTTAAATCATTTTTAGCTCTAATGTAATTCAAACAAGAAAATTTTTCAGGCCAGAAAAGCTAAAGAGGCAGCGGAGAAAAGAAACGAAAAAGACATGTTGGACTCTGAAGAGAATTCAGAAACCTCCACGAATCCAGAGGATGAGTTGAACTTTTGTGAGGACCTTTTCACTGCTGTAATGACAGCCACTGATGGCGACACGAATCGCCCACTACATTTAGTTTTTCAGCTCTTGCCGTCAAAGAAGGTGAGTGTATACAAGTACAAGGGGGTCCAGAAAGTCAGTTTACCTATTCAATATATCCTATAAAAATATAGAGAAAGAATATCTGTTGAAAACATTGAAAAGCCACTACTTTTAGCGTTTTAGGGTGCTATAGGTTTGTAATTTTGGGTTAATAGAACTGAAGAAAAATTGATTTTTCTGAACCCTCCTCCTCTCGGCGCAGGTCGCAAATTTTATGGAGCACCATTATCAAGTGAACTGCTGCATCTATCGTGATTGAAAGGTGATTGAAAATCTTGTAAAACATAAGGGCGAACATCAATCAGCCAGGAAATTGCAGAAAGAACCGTATTTTCCTTAAAGTCAGTTGTATCTGAACAGAATAGGGCTGTGCAAATATTAGAAAATCTTGAATATTCGAGTTCGAATAATTTTTCCGATATTCGATTCGAACTCAAATTTAGAAACCCCAAATAATTGAATTACTCGACAGCATCGGCAACACTTCGAATATTTCTCAAAAGAGACCGAATATTCGTACATCCGGTCGTATTGATGACGTACTAGTAGGAACTCGATCTGGCGCGCAGTTCAAACTACTTGTTTTGAGGTTAGGTAAACGAAGGCCAACGTTTCATTGGTTCATTCAGGGCACGGCCCTTGTTTTAGACGGGTCAATTCAAAATTCGCGCCAAAAACTCGACCATCTCTATGCTACTTTCTTACGATAAGCTGTAGACATAGCAGCTCATTTGCTGATGGCTGGCCGCCAAATTTTGGACCCCAGCAGAGAGTAGGTGAGTTCAGAAAAATCCACTTTTCTAGAGTTCTATTAAACCTAATTTAAAAATCATTAGTGCATTATAAAGCTGAGATTTGTGGCTTTTCAACGCTTCTTACAGATTTTCCTCATCTATCTTAGTGTGGAGATATTGAATACATATACTTACTTCCTGGACAACCCTCGTATATCTTCGGTCGCTGAAGACCTAGGGTCTGCAAGGTAAAAGACGCAACATAAATTGGTGGAGGGGGAGGACTGTAAAGCTTGGAATCAATTTGAATCTTATTTACGCAGCGTCTTTAACAGTCGGCAAAATTGTTTGTTTATTTAGGATCTCGAGCTTCTCTCTGGGCAAACTTGACCGCTGGCCACTGCAAAAAACTGCCTGCAGAAGCATTAAAAAGCGCATAACAAACTATGCAGATTGCAGGCCATGGAGTAGATTTCAGACTTTTCTAATGTGCCCAAAGTAATTTTTGTGCAATTTTACCCACTGGAAGTCTTATTCATGTGGCTGTATTTCTTGCACGCAACAGACCTATTGTGAGCATGTCTTGAGAATAGTAGACCTGAGTGACTCTTTTTGTTTCGCTATTTTCGTATCCTACAAAGAACATGATTTGTTGATTTGTGCAAGTATCTGAAAGAAAATTCCAAAGCTAATAAAACAAATTAGCGAAATATGAACTGGAGTATTTTATTAACCTTCTTTCAGAAACCCAGCATGTTCCAGAAAATTATGGCGGCCCAGAATTATTGGCACCTCTGCTCTGAGTATCTATCTGATTTTTTTGCCTTCCCTAAATTGTCTTATCGGGATCTCTAATTTGTTTTTGACCTCACCAAAACTTTTTCAGCGCTACCCAAAATATTATGAAGTCATAGATAACCCGATTGATCTCCGGATGATAGCACGAAAAATTCAAGAAGGGAAGTATTCCTCGCTAGGGGAAATGGAAAAAGATCTCTTGCTCATGACCAAAAATGCGTGTACATTTAATGAACCTGGCTCACAGATTTACAAAGATGCAAAAACTTTGAAAAAACTCATTCAGAGTAAAAAGATTGAAATCGAGCATGGGAAAGTCTCAACAGGAAAAACAAGTGAACGTATCAGGTACTTTGTTTATTTCCTCTCAGTTTTCTTTATTTTCGTGTTTTTCCTTGTTAAATATTAAATGTGTCTCTGGTTTTATTGCCCTTTCTTCTCTTTCCAACATATATTTTCTACAAAATGAACACTAGAAACTTACCCATTTTTTCAACTGGGCTTCTTACAAATACAAACTCTGATTTCCCTCTTCTTTTTTTCAAATTTCAACTTTTTGTCCCTGTACTTTGCCTGTTTGCTTTTTTTATTTTTAACTGCTGGAATTGTTATGGTAACATTTAATGTGCAAATCAACTCAAGTAGATCCAGGGTTCATGCAAGCTTGAAAAGTGCTTGAAAAGTGCTTGATTTTAAAAAAAAAATTTAAGGCCTTGAAAGTGCTTGATTTTTTGGAAAGTGCTTGAATTTCTCAGATCCACTTTTCGGAGGTCAAATGAGAAAGCATTCGACTTTTCAGACGTACGCTGGAAAGTATTAAAACAAGTTGAAATTGAAACGAGAACTACTTTGCTGAGTTGCCTGCTCAGTCTTTCGTCGCTGCTGAAAGTGGCTGAAAAAGATAACTTTGATCTAATTACTGGCGCTATTAGATTTTACAAGAATGTCTTGTCAAAAATTTTAGAAAAATCTCCAATATCACATGCCTTAGTTCGAAATTTGTCCTGTTTGGATCCGAGAAGTATGATTCACCTAGATGCAGATTCTTCTCCTGTTAGTCGGTCAGCTGTTTGCAAGAAGAAAATGAGGTCTGTCTTAAATACATTGTGTGATTGTAAAATAGTCGTAGCTGGTAAAGTTGATATTATTCTTGATGAATTTGATTCATTTTATCAAAACGTTGTCTTAAAGAAAGCTGTCACCTTTGCACACTATGAGCCTTATAAAGAGAAGTCAAGAGTTGATGAGTTTTATATTAACTTTATGGACAAGGATGAATACAAAAATTTATGGAAAGTTGTCAAAATAACTCTACTCTTAAGTCATGGACAAGCATCAGTGGAGAGAGGTTTTAGTGTAAATAAAAACCTAGAAGTAGAAAATTTAAAGGAGCAGTCCTACATAGCACAGCGTTATGTACATGAGTTTACCGATGAAATGGAGAGCTTATCCAGTATGGTAATAACCAAAGAGTTAAGACAAAGTGTATCAGGTGCTCGCAGTAGATATGCTACCTATTTAGAGGAAGAAAAGAAAATCAAGGCTCTCACAGCTATTAAAAATGAAAAGTCAGAAAAAACAAAATCTCTACAAGAGAGAAAAAGACGCTTATGTGAAGATGTAAAGACCTCAGAAAAAGGTGCAGACGACCTGGCAGAACAAGCTGAAAAGAAGCAAGATCTCTCATTAATTGTTAAGTCCAATAGTTTCCGCCAAAGTGCCAAAAGAAAAAAAGAAGAGTTAGCAATCGTTGAAGGAGAAATTTCGAAACTCTCCAAACAGTTGTGAAAAAGAACCATAAGTCTCGGTTAAAATCTATAACTTTTTAAACTGCTTGTAAAACACTTTTCTTGATAAGTACATTTATTTAATTTCACATTAACATTTTTTTCTTTTTACTTCTGGTTTTTTTACCTTATTTTTTTTCAATGATGTGGGTCCATTATCTTCTTGAAAGTGTTTTTTTTTCTTCTTTCGTCCGGTTTTTTAGTGTTCATAAAGACTCTTTTTTCAAATGATGTGCCGTTCCATACTCCAGACATACTCCTTACGTGTAGCTTCAAATTAAGAAATCCCACTTTTAAAATTCAAATATTTTTACAATAGTGAAAGACTATCAGAAAACATCTTGCTTCAGCTTTATCAAGAATGAATCTTCAATTTTGAGCTTCTTGTCCAAGTACCCTACTATTCTCATGAATTTAATCCATCGGGTAGCATGCAGATTTTCTATTAACTCTTTCATAAGTTGCACCATCTTCAGCCCATCTTATACCTATCGATATCCATCACTTCTTAATGATTAACGTTGTCTCAATGAATATGAAAGTAAGATATTAGATAGATAGATAGATAGATAGAATACTTTATTTTTTATCCTGGGGAGGATTTAACAAAGGGGGTTAGGTTGGGAGATCATTTACAAACATGAGATTACTTCATTATGCTACACTTATCTCTAGGATATGCTGGGCTTACAATTATGTACATGAAATAGCAGCGTTCATGATAGGCAAACTTTGTTTTTTGATTCAGTTATTCATTTATTATGAACGATCTTATACTCAGAATTGTCGCAAAATAATTATAAATATCTGTAAGCTGTTGCTCGTTTGAGTCTTTACTAAGAATTAGGTTTATGTCTTTGTTAAGGTAGCTGTGTAAGTAATATTTTCGAGTGTTATGGTAAATGGGGCAGACAAAGAATAAGTGGTGCGCATCTTCAGGTTGTTGAGTATTACAAATTGTGCAAATTTCGTTAGGGTTAATTCTATGGTTCATCTGATTGATAGTGATGTTAAGGGAGTTAACATTTCTCGCTCGTAGTTGGCTGAATAGTCTTTTTTTCGCAAAACTCACTTTACGATATAAATAATTATGGTTGGCATCAATATTCTCAGTGTTAATTAGGTTGTAATGGGGGACAAACTTTGTTTCATTTAACTTTTCTTTGTCTTTTTCCATGGTAAGTTCTGATATTTTTCTCTGAACTTCATTTACCATTTTCCTGATCGCAGCTGGCTCTGTGGTTTCTCTAAGAAATAGATATTCTTGGTCAATTTTATGTAACATGGCTTTTAATTGAGAGAACCAGTTGTATTTAATTATATTGTACCTACTTTCATCTAGTTCTTTGAGTCGGGCCAAGCATATTTTAGGGTACCTGGACTCGTGCATATTTTGTACTCTGTGGTACCAATTCAGCGTAGATTTCAATACCTTTGTTTCTATATTATCTTTGCCGGTTTCTTGTCTTATGACATAGTGGAGTGTGCATCTTTGCCATCGAAAAACGGATTTGAAAAATCTGCTTTGAGCAGACTCAAGCATATCACAATACCTGAGAGCCCAAATTTCTGCCGCATATAGTAGAGTTGCTAGTGTGACCGAGTCCCATAATTTTAATACGGATTTGAAAGAGTTATTTTTCGCTTTTTGTAGTATTTGTATCACGGAACTTCCGGCTATAGCTGTGCGGGATATTGCGTCATCAGCTTGCATTGCAAATAGTCCGCTGCTTGTAAATTTGACACCTAAGTACACGTAGTGTTTTACAACTTCAATTTCTTCGCCTCCATATTTGAAGCGTGGGAGTTTACCTGGTTTTCTGCCACAGTGACAGGGTAGTATTTTTGTTTTAGAGACGTTTACTATGAGGTCATTTTCTAAACAGTATTTTTCTAGGTAATTTAATTTTCTTTGGGCGTCGATTGGGGACTCGGCCAAAATAACTAGGTCGTCTGCATAGGCAAGGAGTAATATATCAGTACTTATCGTTACATTTATACCACGTACATGCTTCCTAAGCACTGTTTCGATGTCGCTAATAAAAAGAATGAAAGCTAAGGCGCTAAAGGGGTCACCTTGTAAAACTCCCTTGCTGACTTTAACAGGTTTGCTTAGCATGCCATTTACGTCTACCATAACATTGGCGATTTTGTACAGATTTTGCACTATTTTTATTAAGTTCGCAGTTACTCCTAAATTATAAAGTTTTATCCACAATTTCTGGTGGTTAACCGAATCAAATGCTTTTTTGAAATCTACAAAAATCAAGTAGGCTTTTTGTTTTTTCAGTTTCTGAAACTGGATGATGGAATTTAACACAAAAATGTTGTCATTGCAGCCTCTCTTCTCTCTAAAGCCAGCCTGGTTTTCAGGTAGCAAATTATTAATTTCAATGAATTTAGTGACTCTTTTAGTGACTAAATAGGTGAGAATTTTGGCTAATGAGTTGATAAGTGCAATACCTCTATAATTGTCGGGGTCGTTTGGGTCACCTTTTTTGTATAACATGGATAATTTAATTTCACCCCACTTTTTTGGGATTTCTCCTTTTTCCATTACATTGTTTAGTATTCGCAGGAGAGCGGATTTCCCTTTTCCATTCAAGTTTTTATAAAATTCATAAGGAATGCTGTCTGTTCCCGGGGTTTTGTTATTTTTTAAGCTATCCAATACAGAGTTTAATTCTTTAGTTTCAATTTTCCTATCCAGAACTGGGTGTCTAGCATCTTGAAAGACAGTATCTGCTTCAGGGATGGTTTCATAAAAATTTTCCAAGTATTTTTCCCAGGTTTGGGTATCTACGGGACTCTTTTGTGTTTTGTTGCACCTTAGTTTTTTAATGGTTTTCCAGAACTCGGAGGGGTTCTTGGTATTAGCCACTGCGTTTTGGATTTCATTTGCGTTGGCCTTCTTTTTCCTTTTTATTAAGCTCGAGTACATTTCTTTTTCAAAAAGGAGATTTTTGCAGCTGTTATTTGAGAATTTTTCTCTCCTAGCCTGTCTAGCTGCTTTTTTAACTTTACGTTTTTGAATTCTGCATTCTTGGTCAAACCAGTTATTTCTGTGCATATTGGAACTTATTTTTCTTTTTACAGTGTGGCTAAGACCTGTTTCACTGGCAGATTTTTTTATGGCTGTAAGCAGAGTATTGTAATCATCTATTTCACGGTTTTCTTTTTCCTCTGTCTCTGCCAGTGAGCTGGCGAGTCGTGAGTTAAAGTTTTTAGAAAGGTCATTATTCCATTTAAATATTGTGACTTCTTTTCCCGATACGGGGCTTTTTCTACCATTATTATCTGCAAGTGAAACTAGGTTTGACATCAATGTTAGGCTGCATGGGAAATGATCTGATACAGGGAAGTTAGGAATCACTTTAAAGTCATTTATAAATTCTGCAGATTTTACACTAATCCACGCCAGGTCAATAATACTTTTTCCTGGGTTACCTACAAATGTATACTGAGCAGGGGAATCTGAGATCGTTCTACCATTCATCAACAGCATGTTTGCTGATTCCATAGTTGCTGTAATTAGCTTTCCTCGCTTATTTATTTTTCCATCTGTTGTCTCTCTATTAACAGTTAATTTAGTTCCAGCAAGAAGTTCCTCATCAGTATAATTTAACTGATTTAGGTTACCTACCCAGGCATTGAAATCTCCAAGGGCAATGATGTGAGAGTCTGGGGATCGTTCCATTATATCGTTCATAGTTGCTTCTAATAGTTCGACACTCACATAACTGTCCCGGGATGAATTTATATAAATTGCACCAATTATAAGATTACTAAATTGACCTTGTAACTCAACAAATATCCACATGTCTGATATGTCTAGGGTATGGATCTGTTTCATTTTTGATAAAAGAGAATTTTTTATCATAATTGCAATGCCGCCTGATGCTCTTCCTCTTGACTTTTCTTTAATTGCATTGCTGAATATTATTTTAAAATTATGAAAGGTTTGATTTTTTACCTCTTGTGTGAGCCATGTTTCATTTAGAGTGATTACATCGTGACTTAGGATTATTTGTAGATCTTCATTAGGGAGGTTGGTCAGGTTTGACCATCCTTTGCAATTCCAATGAAGTATTTTCAGGCTGCCAGGGGTTTCGTTGTTGTCAGACTTGCTTGCTTGAGTTATCCTCTGATTCGTTGGGGCGGTGTGCATTACTCTGCTTCTCGGTGATGAAGGCACTGTCGGAGGAGGGTGTTGCAGGTAGGGAGTCTGCTCTGGGGCGAAAAAAGTTGTCCAGGTTGCATCGGATGTGGTTGGCTTTTGACTTGGTAGCTGTTTTAGGGGGCTTTTTTTCTTCTCGTTTTCGCTTCCTCATGGATTCTCCGTTCTCTGGTACATGGTTGTCATCTTGGTGTTCCTCCGTGGGTATGGCCGGGACGTGATCACCGTATTTCTTTTTTAGGTCATCAAAGGATTTAAGTTCACCATTGATAATTAGCTTGCCGCTTTTCCATTGACATTTAGCGCCTTTACTTATTTCTAATTTTCGCACATCATTTAGGTATTTGCGCTTCTGTCTTTCTTCGGGAGATAGGTCATCTGACAAGTATAAGTCAGAGCCTTTCAACTTAGGGCCACTTTCCAAAATTTGCCATTTCTTTAGGTTAGTTGTTAGCGAAAGTAGGATAGGCCGGGGATTTTTGTGCGGCTTGCCCAGGCGGCGCACCCAGTTAATGTCTGAGTTGTTTATTACGATTTTTAGATTTTCTGTAAATGCAATCTTGATTTTGTTCACCAAGGTATCTCTGTCTTCTCTGGTATTTTCTGGGATACCATATATGACTACATTATTTAAGCGGTTCATTGCACTCACGATTTCCTTTTGTTTTTCCAGGGCAATTTTCAGGTTTTCATTCTCAGATTTCAGGTCTTGATATTGTTTGTCTTGCTGTTCGCGAATCTCAGTGATCGCATTTTTTAACACACTAGTTTGTTGTTCTATTTCAGTTTTAAGATCGTTTCTGAGGTCAATTCGCATTTGCTCGAAAAATTTTGCTAATTCGTTCTTATCCATTTCGGATTGATTGATAATGTTTACAAACACGCTCGGTGACTAGATCGATAGGTCGATAGGTCGATAGGTCGGCTAGAATTCTTGCGGCGAGATTCGATATCAGGATCCGAGTCGTCTCGGAAGAAGCCGAAGCGCGACGCGACACGGGCCGTCAAGATCAAGGTTATCTGATCACAGCTGATTGTTATCACGATTATCACCGAACATTCTAGAAATCAGGACACTAGTATAGGAGCACTTTATTTGTTATTTTCTTTCGTTTCACCGAGATCCGGCGCGTATTAGTATCATTATTCCGAAATTCGATATCACGAGCACTTCCCTGTAATAAATTTCACTTGAAACTTTCGTAAAAATACTTTAAAATCTTTAAAATTCCGGGAGCACGGGAGCACACTTCCGATTCGGTCGACGTGACAACCTAACCTCAAGTAAGATATTTATTTATTATTATCATTTATTTTTCTTTTTATTTTTAAACCAACGTTTTGAATAAATTGGAATAAAACATTCAGGTGTAAGTATGGATGGGTAGTTGGTCGAAAACTTATGCGGTGAGCCAGGATTTTACTTTTTTTTGCTTAGAATTTAGAGGTATTTACTTACTGGGTTGTCAGTATTGGTACTGCTAATTGGGATGGTCTTTCATTTATACATCCGTGTATTTTTTAATTAGAGGAAAATACTCATTTTAGTTGGTTGTTGATATCTGTCTCGCTATTAGGAGTTTTTATGTCAAAGGTCCTGTGGAAAAATTTCTTGAATCTCGCGCAAAACTGCTTCCAAAAGGCTCTTGAAAGTGCTTGAAAAGTGCTTGAAAATTCAGAAAAATGTGCTTGAAAAGTGCTTGAATTTTTAGCACTGAGGCTGCATGAACCCTGAGATCATTGGTTTTTCTATAAGCTGCAAGTTTGCATTCATGCATTGAAAAACGTTCATATCTTGGATAGGAGTTCCTGTTAGTAATATCAGTGGTACATATTGTGTTACTCATGAAATTTTGATGAGAAAACTGAAATTACAATGTTTAAATTTTCACCCTGTCCAGTGGTCCATTTTATGTGACTTTTTGGCTAAAAACATCAAACTCTAGCTATTAATTGGTACTTTACATTTCAGGAACAAACGCTTCAGAGGAAGTCAGTCGTTATCTGCCGTTACTGCAGCTTTGCCTGACGAAGATGATTCGGATGATGAAGATTTAGCAGAAGGTGGTGACACTCCTCAGTGGCAACTTTACAAGACTGTCAAAGATACTATGACACCCAATGGTAAGTTCTCAATAAGCTACTTAACAATTTTCTTCTTTTAGATTTGCCAAAATTTTGGCAAATTTTCGATATTTAGCGCTGATTCTAAAAATTACCTCCGTATTTTTGGATTAGTTCACTCTACCCTGAAAAAATTAGAATTTTTTCCATAAAGCAAGTTCCTGAAGAGAAAGTTAAATGTGTTGGGACATCTATGTACCAGAAAAACGAGGGTCAACACCTTCTCAGTGAAGTAAGTAGGAATATTAGAGGAGAATTTCTTACTCTTATGAATGGAAAATGTTCTGGAGAAGTTTTGAAAAATCCCAAGCCAGATGTACTTTCCCGGGAAACTTCAATGAATGCGCTGTAAATTTGGCAGTAATAACGTTCCTTATGAAGGCCACCCACTTTCCTGGAAAAACCTGCTCCCATTTCTAGCTCATGACTTCCCTGGGGAACTGTGATTCCTAGTCGAGACTCATCAGCCACGCAATTTATGTTCAACCTGTCAGCAAAACTTATCTAAAATGTTCAGTAAGGCTGAACATCTTGAAGTGCGATTTTCGAAAGTTTGACAAACCGCTAAACAGGTCAGAATGTCTACTCCAAGGAATTTTTAGTTTTTGCCAACATTTTTTTCTTCTAAAGTTACAAGCTTTGTGGCATTCTTCATGAACTGCTCCTCTTAGTGAAAATCCTGCTCTCTGCCTTTTTTGAGGATCATAGATATTTAAGGATAATGAAGGATGGAATTAATGAAGAAGGATAGCAGGATTAATGAAGGATGATAATTTTAGAAGCAGTTTATTTTTTTCATTAAACTATAATTACTGAAGAGCCTTCCATAGACGCTATAAGTGGCGCGTCATCATAGGCATTCTCCATTATGTCGAATTGGATCCAAACAATAACATTGGCATAACCTCTTTCAATGCTACCAATGCGAAAAAATCGACACATATCGCTTTTCTGTGATGTGGCACTAATAGCGTCTATACCCTGCCGAATGCGACTAACAACCTGGCTGGAATAAGAGTGACCTGGAAATTCAAAATAGGCATTGCTTCTCTTGGATGTTCTTGGATGGGCTCAAATTGGGCTTACGTCCAACAGCTGTCGTAGTAGAGCTAAGCAAGCTAGGTAGCTAGTAGCTTGGTCTAATGAAAACTTGTGGGAAACCACTCTAACTATTACTTGAAATTGTATGTTCGTTTAACTTTTATCAACAAGTAAGTACTTTTTTTTTGTGAATCTTAAGCCTTTCCAGGCCAGTCCATCAGCAGAAATCTTGCCTTTAATTCGTCCTTTTGACTGTAAAAACTTATCAAAGTTGGAATGGAATATCAAAAGATAAGTAAATAAGGTTCTGCAGTACTTTTATGCTCAGGCTCCTTCATAAAAATTGCTAATTTTAATTGTTTCTTTTGAATTAGGTGCGTACCTGAGCGAACCTTTCTGGAAGTTGCCATCAAAACGATATTATCCCGACTATTACAAAGAAATAAAGAACCCCTTGTCTCTTGGTCAAATTGGCAAAAAATTGAAAAACGGCGACTATGGCACTATCAGTGAAGTTGCGGGCGATATGAACATCATGTTCGAGAATGCCAAGAAGTACAATCGTCCCGATTCACAGCTGTATAAACATGCGGTCAAATTGCAGAAAATCATGCAATCCAAAGTTAAAGAGTTGTTGGATTTTGACCATCAATACTCTGACTCAGACGATGATTCTGCTGATGAACAAACAACACCCACTACTAAACGCTCGAAGGTCTCCAAGTCCCCAAGGTGTTTGACTAGGGGAAAATACATGAGTAATATCCCTTTGAAAAGAAGGCTGTACGCTTTGTGCAAGTGTCTTATGGATTACAAGGTTTGTTTTTTTGTTACCTTTTGGACACCACTCCTGTAGTACATTTAAAGTAACAACTTTTTGATGTGGAAGGTCTGTAATCTTTCTGTGTTTTTTTTTAGGCTCTACCTAATCACCAGGCCGGGACCTTAAGACAAGGGCAATGGTTATTATTCTCTCTTTCACCTGCTGAAAACTAAAGAGTGGTCCTGTTGAATAATGGGTTCAGGATGATCTTAGAAACTTGAACAGGACCTGTAGGGTAGAATAAAAAAGCTGTTTTTCGATATTACTTGAGGGCCATATCAGAAACGTTGCCTCTCGTAATATAAGCAGACCTGTGGTTTTCTTTTTTTGAAATTCCAACTTTTTCCGTTGACATGGTTCATCCCAAGTTTTGAATTCTACGATAAAATCTTGTTTGTTCACTTCCAAAACGGAATAGCGCCATATCATTTTCGGCGAATTTCCCGGTTTTTACCAGCTCCAAACGAAAGTTGAGGGGGGGGGGCAGCGGGGTTTTATGGATGTTTCCGGCCCTAAAGTGGGCGGCAGTCTCTGTATTGCAATCCTTCCACTAGTCGCAATGTTTCAAGGGTCCTCGTCAAGCTGGAAATTAGTTGGGAATGCCCATTCAAATCTAGCAATGAAATATTTCCACATTTCTTTTCATTCTCACTGATGATTGGTTCAAGTGATTTGATGTATCTTAATAGCCACAGTGTACAAGCATGTATTTATATTGCAATGTCTCAAAATTTCAGCTCCTATTTTATTTTTCAACTAGAAACGATCCAACTCAACAGCTTGAAGTTGATACAGAATTTTTTGCCAACAAATGAAGAATCAAGGAAGTTTTCCGAAAAATAAATAAAGAATGAAAGGAAGTCTGCAATGTTGCAATTGGAGGTACATGGTTTGGCACTTTGGCCATTAATCTATTCCTCTTAAAAACCCAAGACAAGATTCTAAATAGTTGCACAAGATTTTTCTTCTCCAAAGAATAGACCATCCTACTTATTGGTTCCTGAAGGGTTCAAGTAAACCATTCTTTTCGAAACTGCTATGCTAATTTTATGTTTATCAGATACAATTGTAATGATTTTCCTATTTCATGAATTGCTCAGTGTGAAGATGGTCGTCAACCAATGCTTATGTTTATGGAGCTGCCCTCAAAACGAATCTATCCAGAATACTATACTGTAATCAGTCATCCAATTGATATGATGACTATTGAGCAAAAGATTCGTGAAGAACAATATCGAAGTGAAGAAGAGATACTCAATGACTTCAAAGTAAGTGTTTCTGGTTACGGCTTGGAGCTCTTTGCCAAAACCTTTTTGATCCCTAACATTTAGTGTCAAAAATTGAAGTGAAGATTGAGATATATATTTTTTCATCTGATCACAGCTCAACTAAAATTCCTCACTGATACCGAAACCTTTTTATTTTTAAGAATGTGGATTCTTTCCTGAAAATTAGAAAGTAGCCTCTGTTAGAAACTGATTGATGAAGAACTACATTTGGGCTGCGTTTAACAGAAAGGAACCAAGCCACATCAGCTTTTGCCAAATTTAACTGAACAATTTAATTTTTTACGAGAGAATGTTCCTGTGGATTCTTTAAAAAATGTTAAGGAATTTGCTGCGTACTGTGGAGAAAAATCACTGAAATTCGCAAGAAGAACTGCACAACCGTTTCCATGTAAAAAATTAAATTGCCCTGTTAAATTTGGCAACAGCTGATGTGGCTTGGTTCCTTTCTGTTTCACGCGGTCCATTTATGTGCTTGGGACTATTACTTGTGATTTACTTTAAAAACATTGTACGTGCCATTAGATTCCCTATGCAGGAAGATGTTTTCGTGGATTTTACAAATCGATCTATGTTCCCTTCAAGGATTTCAAAGTAATTCGAATTAATGGATTCAGCAGACCAGATCAATTTGTCTGTCGCGTGAAATTCAGTAAATGGTCTTAGTGTAACAGAAAAATCATTTTTTTAAAAATTGGAGATGGCCCCTTTTTGAAATTATCAATTCAATTACATGTAGTTTGTTTGTAGAAGCCTTAAAATGTATGTGTCTTTTGCTTCGCAGTTGATGTTTTCAAACTGTCGGAAATTCAATGAAGAATCTTCCATGATTTACGAAGACGCTGTCACCCTTGAAAAAATGGTTCTAGACAAATCTAAGGAGCTAGGTCCACTTCATACTAAAGAGAAAACGCCAAGGTAATTTACATTCTTTGGGCTTCTAATAATGAGCCAGTTAAGTCATTATTTTTATTGCATCAAAGTATGAAATGAGCTGAGCCTACAGACAGGAAAAGTAATGCTAAGGGCCTTTTCCGGCCCCACCTTGATTTTGCTAACTGTTTCATATTTTCAAAGTACAAGTCCTAGGTAGACTCTATGCCAAATGTGTTACTGAACCGAGCCCGTGCGAAGGTGCAGCAGCGCACAGTGCTATGAATGGTGACGAAAATCCCCCTAAAAATGAAAGTCAAAATTTTCCAAAAATTATGTAACGATCGTTAAGTGGTATATCTGACAACACTATTGCCAGCGATAGTATCTATTATTATCGATACCTAGTGCCCGCACAGGTGGTCCTGTACAGCAAGTTCTGAGCTCCTGATTAGAAGCCGATTGCAGATGAAAACATTGAGGAGCATTCTGATCAACAGGTTTCAGTGCCATTCTATCCATTCCCACTAGTAAGCACCATTTATTTTTGGCTTTTCCAATTTTTAAATCCTTTTTTTTTTTTGTGACGAATATTGCATTTTGAAATACTGCTCATTTTTAACCCTTTTTTCCAATTTCATGGAGTGGCTAAAATAAGCACTGACAAGTACCGAACTTTTGTGCTTGTGAATATACTCAGTGATATGTGTACTTTCAGAAAATCAACGGTTCATCTGCCTGATGTTGCCTGTTCGGGCGAAATTCATGATTTTCTTGGAAAATTTGGCTATTTTTAGTGTTTCTGGGCTTTTATTCGACTTTGATTCAGGGTTCACAAATTAACTTTAAATTTTCAAGACATTTTGCATGGACACAAATAGATGACACTTAAAATGAAGTAAACAAATGGTAAAATTCATTTTTAAGTATCTCATGATGCCAGTTAGCTCTAAGAAATAGCACATGTTTTAAGTATTTGCATCCACGTATTAGGGGGTATCATTCAACACTTTTTTTTTTTTAAATTTGATGATGGCCTATGAAATTTTGTTGCAAAATGGTCCACCTACCTCAAAAAGTTTTGTATGATTGAAATCGGTTGATAACCTGAGGTTCTGGATCGCGAAAAACTGGTTTTGGTGCTCCTGGCTTGGAGGCTTGTTTCGGGTTTTGGCGGGCATTTTCAGGGGTGACGCAATACATCCAAATTGAAATTAAGTCTACTTTCTTGACAAATTTTTTGTGTAAAATTAAAAAAAAAATATTAATTTTGGTGTCATTGAATTTAGAAACAAAGTGTATAATTTCATTGTGAAAGTTCGCTTAACACTAATAAAAAAAAAAAAAAAAAAAAAAAAAAAAAAAAAATTTTGGTGTCAGCGTGTTTAATCTATCCAAAATTGCTGATTTCGACGATTTCGGGCGAATATCCGATAATGGGACGAAATGTCAAGAAACATCCCCAAACGTTTTGATTGGCGTGTTAAATATTTGCCTAGTCGTTTCAGTTCGCCTGTGGATGAAACTGAAGTATTATAAATTCCAATTTGTGCAACTCCTCTCTGGTCCTATATATCTAAACCACCCAGGACTCACCACGGGGAGGTGATCGCGCATTGAGTCCCTCCCGTGCCTCCCCAACCTCCCAACCATTAAAGACACAAATTTTCTAATTTGAAGCTTTATAATCTGCCTTAGTTCTCAGTTTTGGTATTTATTTATGATGGAGAAGTCTACTTTGGATCAAGCCGTGTCAGGCATTAAATCCACAAACTTGACTCAAGGCCTTTGACACTTCTCGAACAATTCGATTACATTTTGCAACAAGGAACCGCTATTTCTGGCTCTTCCATAAAAGCACGTATCTGAATGAAGAAATCAATGGCATATATGTAGTTTCTAAAATGAGCCGGAAATAGTGGTTCCTTATTGCCAAATGTAATCCAATTCTCTCGACGCTTTGGGTGTGAGCAGGATACTTCGGAATATCTAACTTCAGCGGAATGTCTTGGGATAAATAGTCACTAATGTGCTGTGAGGAGATATTTCTTAAAATTGGGGGAGATGTAAGAACAGTATCCTTCCAATTTATCATGTCCACGTAGCTTTCAGCCTCAAAATTAATCTTAGGTTTTCTGAAGGCGCAAATTTTCTTTCCTTTAGTGGAAACTTCTCTAGATTTCAGAATTAAGGTCAATCCTTTCTTTCGGATTTCAACATCATCGTTTGTGACCATTGATATCAAGATATTTTCGTGATGACGGAAATAGCAGTTTTGCTGAATCACAGAATCAACAACTGCTCTCTGCGCCTGCGGTAGATATCGGGTGAGTTGGATCATTCTCATGAGGTGATGGCTGCCCTCTGTGCAAGAGGATTGTTTTCTAATTAAAAACCACATTGGGACGTACACTTTTAGGACGAATGTAACTAAAGCTACAAGTCTCTCTGATGGTGCTGGTGTACCAACATACAATCTCATAAGTCTGTTATCGGTTGTGACCCATCGTGAATGATTTTAACGCACAAGGATCTCTTTCGGCCAAATTTTCAGAGCACATTCTTGTTTTAATTGCGAGAGCAAGTTCAAGCATATATTTTTGATCCTTGCTGAGTATTTTGACATCAACATCTGGAATTTCTGTCTCAATATTTTGAAATCCAACAACGCTGAGCTCTGTGCAAGTTGTCAAAGTTTTGCCAATAGGACCACTGTACGAAGTTGGCCCTGATGTGCTTTCATCGATGAATTCGAAAAGATGGCGTAAAGGAAGCTCATTGTTATGTAGAAGGCAAATAAGCCATTGCAGAGCTTGCTTGAGTTTATTTTCTAGCAATGCAATAGCCCCTGCTTTCCACCCTGTATTTACATTGGTGCCATCGGCACCAATGGCCATTAAATCTTTGGTCTGAAGATCTTGAATTACCTTGTGCAAAGCGTTCGCGATATGAGCACCAGTTCCACCATCGGGCGTTACATGTGTCAAATATTTATAGTTTGGCTGCGAGAGTACCAATAAATGGTCCTCTGTTTTCGTGATAATTTGCGTTTTGCCTCCGTCTTTAAGGCGCGATCTTTGTTTTATCTTTATGTCCGTCAAAGTAAATGGCCGTTACAGGGGTTGAATTTTGTGACGGTGAAGCAGCTACGATAGCTTCTGTCCTTAGAGTTTTCGCTGGCATTTTCTTTTCGCAATCCGACTTATAATGGGTCCTTTCCACTCAGGGCCTTTTTCTTTTCTGCTGATATTAGGTAAAAAAAGCGAATCACATCTCTGTAAGTTGGTAAATCTCTTTTCGGGAATGCTTGGTCTGCCGAAAATGGGACATATAAAATCCGCTACTCTCGTGGAGTGGGCCATGATAAAAACTTGAATGCAACAAAATAGCTACAAGGACACCACTAGCCGAGTAGATCGAGACTGTTCGGAAGTCAAAGCCGCTAAAATTGCGGGCGCTTCTGGACGCATCGCATTGGCACCGATGCATTCGAAGGCCCCGGAGTTTCATCTGATGAGGATGCTGCGTTGAGGGATTTCTGTTGTGTGCTGTCTGCCAGATTTTCGTAATCAGCAAAAATGAATTTATCGCTCGAGTCAAGAAAGGCATTGCCTCCGCGGGTTATCGGGGACCTCCTCCTTGTTCTTCAAGTCCTACGCGCGCACAGGTTCCCAGCGCGCCCCCCCCCCCCCCCCCCCNACGCCCGGACACATTATCGCCTTTATACTGTTCGTTTAAAATCAAATACCTTTCGACTATTACAAAGGACATTTCTCTATGATTGTACAGAATTTTTCTTGCTTTACGGCATTTGGTCCCATAATCGGATATTCGCCCGAAATCGTCGAAATCAGCCATTTTGGAGCCAAAATTTGGATAGATTTAAAATGCTGAAACCAAAATTAATATTTTTTTTTAATTTTACGCAAAAAATTGGTCAAGAAATTATACTTAATTTCAACTTTGATGCATTGCGTCACCCCTGAAAATGCCCGCCAAAACCCGAAAAAAGCATTGGAACCAGGAGAGCCAAAACCAGTTTTTCGCGATCCAGAACCTCATGTTGTGATAATCCATAATGATTCCTCCCAGTATCGTCCATTGGACATACATCGGGCACAGAGACAGCGTTTTGAATGATTTTGGCGCGCTCTATGTTCTTCAAAAATTCACGTTTGTTTGTCAGAATGTCTTTAATAGAGCACGTCATGAGAGACCAAGACTCCTTATTCTTGAGAAGCAACTCTTGAAGGTGTCGTGGATGAGCAAGAAATAATTTACTTCCTGGAGCAGGGGTGCAGGGGTATAAAAAATGGACGAACGGTAGTGGAAGATGTGCCGGCTCATGAGTGTAATTTGCAAAGGACTTGGTAAAATCTTTCGGTTATCTCATGTAACCCATAGCACCCAACCACATAGGAAGTGTCTATGGAGCTGAATTTGAGATGGAGTAACAACGTGTCTGGAAAAAGGAGTCGGGCAAACCTGTTCAGCAACTCTGCTTGCCTTCCTGGAATCCTATATGAGAGAGCCTCATAAACCGTGTCCATGTTGTCCATCGCTGGGATCGATTCTGAGTGCGCGGGTGATGGCGACGGGCCTCGGCTTTGCCGTTCCCAGCATCAGGGGGACGATCTCTCCATACGAAACCTACGGTGGGCCCGTTTAAGAGGAGTCACCTAACGACCGCCCCCCGCCCAAGGACTTACGCGACTCGCCAAACCCCCCACCATCGGCTAACCCGGACACAGGCCATGGACCCGCCCTGTGGCTTCGGAGAAATGAAAGCGTCAACCACGATCAACGAGCTGCCTCGACAACCCCTCGGCGACGCGATTTGAGGGTTGGAGGGTCCATACTTGACGAGTTCGCGTTTGAAATTATTGATCACACTTCATCGACATTATATATACGGTCCCCGACTAGAATTGATTATTTTTCCCCCCACTTGCATGAAAGTATAGTTTCATGTTTATACTTTTACTACAACAATATTTACTCTGAACTAAATTATGACTACACAGTTTGTCCGAGTGTAATCGAGT